GCAGTTTGTAATGTGTTCTACATATTGGTGCACCAATATTTTCAGGTATTAGACATGATGTTCTTGAGGTTCTGTAAACTTGTTTTACTTCTATAGGGAAACACTTCTAATGGCAAAAATCTGCATAACCTTCTGATGGCGTTTAGAGAATTGGGCTGTCCAAATTTCCAGTCCAGAAGGAAAAAGGATAAATAAAATCAAAGAACTGCATATTGTAAATAGCATTTAGGGAATGTGCAAATATTTCACTTTAAAGTTAAACCTGTTGATATTGTACTTGGTAAAGGGCAAATGTAGCTACCTTAATTATAACGTTAACTTAGCTTTTTACATTTGGCCTATTGTATACACTCTTAAATTTATTTTTAGTAATTTTATCTGATAAACAAAAAAAAAAAAGCAAGCAATTGTTTATTTTTATATTTGATATATATGGATGTTTGTGTTCCCTTAAAGCTGCAGCTCTTTAAGGTATCACTCTGCAAACCTTGTACATCTAGAGCAGGACATCTTTTTTATTTGTAAAGCAGCTGAGCTTTATTTTTAAAGAATTTCATATTGTACTTAGTAATTCATTCTATCACATAAACATGCTTTGATTCAAATCATTTAATTGTAGCTCTGTCTGAATATTTTGGGATGTTATCCTGCTGGAAACACTGCTCAAATCTCTCCTAGACCCGTTTCTTCTGCCCCCTATGTGGGTCCTTTCAACTAATTGCCAACTCTAAAAACCTTCCCTGATGGAAAAAAAAAGGTTTCCACAGCATGATGCTGCCACCATTATGTTTCACAATCAGAATGTTATATTAAAGGTGACTTCTGATGTTATTTTCCAGTCTTACATGGTGTTTTGCAGCCCAAAAAGTTATATCATGGTTGGTTCCATGGTTGGTTCCTTGGAGGTTTTGGTGCACTGTAAACCGGACCTATTTTTGCTATATTTCAGCAATGATGTTTTTCTTGACAGTATTTCATAAAGGAGAGATGAATGCAATGCCAGACTAACACCTATGATATGGACAGATTTTCCTGTTTGATTTGTGGATCTCTGCTGTTCCTTCAGAGGTACCATCAGGTTCTTGTGTGAACATCTCCCCTTGTGTTAACTGGGCACAGACAGTGGGATGGGAGACTTTCCAATCTGCATTATATTTAAAGATAAAATGCATTCTTTGTGTTACTTCTGTGTCTTCTAGTTTAGTGATTTACTCTTTTATTTTGGTAATTTGAGACCCTTGTGTTTAACTAACATACCAATGCTTTTTTTCAAACACCAGAATTGATGGTCTATAGAATTGAACACGAGCAATACAGTATTTGCTGATCATGAAATTTTACTGTGTGATCTGCAGTCCAAATCTGAGTTTACTTTTCCTATTTCTGTTTCTTTAGGAAGTCTAGACATGTGCATGTAAGCATAAATGACTCACTACCTGTAAAACCCATTGCCCCCTGCTTGTTTAGAAACAAACTAAGGCTAAGCTTCCTTGCCAAACTGTAGTTATAGACGAAGAGCGTAGTCTGGATGATATAGCTAAAGGCAATCCTGCTTAGCAGAAGTCGCCACCTGTTTCAGTTTATTAAGACATTAAACAAAGGAAGAATTCAGAGCTGAAACAAATATCAAGTTTTTCTAAACCAGACAACCCCACTGATTGCAATGCTCCAAGTTAAAATTCTTCTTTTTTTGTTTGAGATGCAGCTGTGCCAGGAGGCTCTATGCAGCGTTTTTGCTAATCTATTTGGTAAATGAACAGATTCCACCTACATTTATTGGAACCAAATGTAAAAATATATAAAATTCTGTAAATTGCATTTGCCTTTTACTGCAGCAACATATTCTGAGTGGGGAGATCTTCTAATTTAAAGAGAAATTTTTTTTGCTTGTTTTTACAAAATCTCCAAGACCTCTTTTTTTTTTTTTTACTGCATTACTGCAAGCCCACTTTGCCAACAGGAAAAGAAAAAATCTGCTCCCATTGCATAGCTTAAAGTTGGAACATTTAGAGCAAGAATAATTTTGCTTAATGACCTTGATCAGACTCCTGGTCTTTATATTAATCTCCATGCATTTTAAAATATTCATATTGCCATAAGTTCAAGCCAGGCCTGATGACCTTGTTTAAAGTGGGCATAAAGTGTTGCCTTGGGTTTAAATCCCAGTTAGGACCTTTCTGCTTGAGGTTTTCTCTGGTCCCTTAATATGTTCCTTTTTTATAATGCTTATAGTGAGATTGGTTCAACAATCTCTATAGGTATGCTGCTAGGCAAGGCAAGGCACGGCAAATTTATTTGTATAGCACAATTCAGTACAAAGAAAATGCAAAGTGCTTTACATGATTAAAATACAGGAAGATAAAACAGAATCAAAGCAAGTAGGAAAAAAACTAAAAAAGAAATAGATAAAAAATAAATTAAATTAAATAAAAAATGCAGAAACAAAAAAAGAATATTAAAAACAGTTGGAAGTTTTTGTTAGATTACATTTATTTATTTGATTTTTTTTTTTTTCATGGAGAAGAAGAGGACTTTGTTTGAGCTAATTTTCCAGTATTTGATTTCTAATTATCTTTAAAGCTGTTAGCGTTTGATCAAAAATTTCTCCTTGGGCAGTTAACAATTCCCCAGAACCTTGCCTTTTGTTCTACTACCATAGAACTGCAAAACCTTTCCCATTATCTACAGGTAATTTAACTCTGCCCGATATGCATTTTAATTCCACAGGCTTAGACTGCTGGAGGACATAGGGACCACTTTTCATCTTCCATCAACATCGTTGTTTACCAATGTTGGAGCTTGGCCTTTTTTTCAGTGTAGTCCTGTTTCTCTTACTATGAGTAGCTATATGTACTCTTTTTCATCCTCTTACACAGGAGCTGGCTCAGAGCTCATCTGCTTGCTTTGTCTTTCATGGATGGGGCCACATTTGGAGCAGGTTAACAGTTACCTTTTGTATCTCTGCAGGTATCATTTATATGTCTGCTTCTGTCTCCTTCGACCCCAGTCTGCCTCGGCAGATTGCTGCTCATGCTCAGTCTAGTTCTGCTGGAGGTTTCTTCCTGTTAAGAGTTTTCCTCTCCACTGTTATTACATGCATGTTTGGTGTGAGGAATTGCTTTCAAGTCAATAAGCCAATGCAATATGCTGGTTTTCCTTTGATAGAAAACTTTAATCCAATCTGACTCTATGATCTGGTTGAATGGTCTCTGTAGAGGACCTTGAGATGACATATGTTGTAAATTGCTGTTACATAAATGAACTGAATTTAATTTAATTATTCCGGGCTCCTTACATGGTTCGAAATTGATTGTTCAGTTGGGTTCATACAACTGCCTTTTGGTATGGTTGCTTTTGATTGTCTGAAAATCCCTCCAGGATGTATTCCAACACTTGACCCTGCACAGATTAATATAGAAAAATGTCAAAGGTTAAAAAAAAATGGTATTTACTTATTATGTTGCGTTTTATTTTACATAAGTTCAGTTGTGCTAGTTGAAGAGTTTTAATTAAAAACAAATTAACTAAAGATGAATAGGAGTCGATAATTAGGTTTTACACCAAAACCCCCCTTGATGGGTTTCCCTCCAAAAAGTTTAACTTGACTCTCATCTGATTGAACCAATATTTTGAAACTGTAATTCTTTAAAAGTGATTGCATGAAATTGGCATCATGCTCACTGAATGTGACGTCAAGAAAAACTTTTGTCTACATCAACCCTTCTTCTTCAACTCTCCAGTGCTGTTGAGACTTTTAAATCCTTGCTCTAATTTCGAGTATGGGTAAGCTATAGTTAGTAACTATGTTTGGGGAGCCAATTCCAGACTCATGATTACCAGAAGAAATTGTTAGTGAACGAAATTTCAATGGAATTAAAGACAAGATTTTTATAATTGTTTTTTACAGTTTGTGGTGCTACAATAAAATTTAGATGTTTTTCAGGGCTATTATACATCTTTAACAGAAACATTTCTACCTATAAGCATTTGGATCGTATCAGGCGCAGTTTTTTCCAAATGAAAAGTGGTTTATGAAGGCTGCACATTATAAAGAACATATTTACCACATTTATGTAAACATATTGCTGTTTTTTTCTGATTACTTTTGTTTGTTTTCTTGAACATTGTCCTGTCTGGCGATGTGGCAATAAGAATAATTGTCTTGATGCCAAAAAGAGAGCCCAACAGCTTTTATTTTCACAAGTGGAGCAGTACGGCTATTGCCATAGTGTTCCGCTTGATTTAGGGATATAAATAGCTTTATTAGAATTCATGCAGGGAGTATTACAGATTTTATGTACACTGCAATGTAAGTACAACAGGAAAGGAAAAATGAAAAAAGAGAAAAGATTAAAGAAAGGCAAAATAAAAGGGAGATAACGATAAAACATGTTCAGTCTGCTTCATCACCTGCAAAGAGATGTAAAAATAACAGCACAACCAACGAATATAGTATAAAAGATACAATAAAGTAACACCTAGACACTATACCTGAAGTATAAGTAATATTATTTAATCTGACATGTATACTGTGGTAAGTGAAGATATGAATATGGGCTTTCTGTACGGAAGTGAATCTCTAAGTAACCTGGAGCCAAGCACCTATATTTGTTTGTGAGAATGCTCTTGCATGAACAGTGCTTTTCTGATTACTTTAACAATATTACATCATGGGAATGGATTGAAAAACTCTGTATCAAATGGTCTCAATTTAAAGAAAATTGCCAGAGAACAGTAGAGTTAAGTGCCAGTTATTAAGCCTATAGTTGTTGAATATTAAAATCATAAAAATGAGTAGACTAAGCTAAACCTGCAATCTTTCTTTTTTTAGGCAATGTCTATATAAACCTGATGTGTTTAATGTTTTCTTTGCATTTTTTTTCTCCCTCTTCAATGAGTCATACTAACAGCATGTTATAACACTCATCATTTTTGTAATGTAAAGTTTTATTTCTCACATGAAGTGTTAATGTAACGCCTATCCTTATTATCTGTTGCAGCAGATGGATCAACCTAGCTTTGGGTTAACATCTCCCCTGAAGAGGAAACCCAGCTCCTGTGGTGTTTGTCGAGTGAGATTCACCCCTGAGGTGGGTGGTGTCTCATGGGAAATTCTCTCGCTAAGATGTTGCTCCCTTGCAGCCCTTTTGTTTCTTTAAACACACCCTTTTTATGACAGTTGAACAGCTGAAGAGACCTGCTTTTGCTTTAAAGCCGTTTGACTGGCTCTAAGGAAGTTTAGCTTTCTTTTGTAACAATTGGCTGGTTTGAAGCACCCCTTAATGTTTGTCTTAAAAAAAGAAAGTTTGGATAAAATCAGGCTAGGGTGTAATTGACACAAATATTTCAGACAGTAAGAGAAATGATAATAATTTAAAAAAGTGCTCATGGCACAGCTGCAAAACTAACAAGAGCTGGACCTCAATGCAGCAAAAACGCTAATGACAATGCTAGCCTCAGAGATCAACATAAGTCCTGTTTGAAGTTTGCTACGATGTATGCAACACAGAAAACATCTGGAAGAAGGTGATCTGATGAGATCAAACCCAAGCAGGGCCCGCAAAATGCTACTGTACATGTCAAGGAAAGCTAACATTATCAGTAACGCCGTCTAACATGGAAAAGTGCTGTGGAAATGGTTTTATTGAGTGGGAGACAGGAAAGCTGGCACAGCTGAAAGGGAAATGAAAGGGCTAAATTATGGACAAAATTTAAAGAAAAACATTAAAAGGTGGCAAAAGATTAAGGTTTTACTTTCCACCAAGGACAGCAGCCCTCCACATAAAGCCAGATCTACAATGGAATAGATTTGATCCAAACATATAAATTTGCTGAAATGGCCTAATGAAAGTCCAAACATTGTGGAAAAGTTCAGAGAACTCTTACCTATAAAAAGTATTTTTTTAGATTTTGAAACACCTAGCCGGTGCAGCTTGAACACATCGTCAGTGAAGGACCCAGGGTCATAGGGTGTTTCGGGTCTTTGATCTTCAGACACCCTCGTCTGGGCGACCCAACCGGGGTTGATCAGGCCCCAGTTTGTGTTCAAGCAGCGCGCTACTCCATGCGTCTCCCCTCTTGATCCACAGCCACCTTGAGGCTTTCTCAGCGGCCTCACTGATGTTTCTGGAGGCTCTTCTCTCAAGCAACCCTCTGATGCCAAGGAGCCTGAATGCCCGATGCACAGTCTGACTTAGGAAGCCTCTGCAGCCCACTTCTATTGGCTCACAGCGGGCCCTCCATCCACGGCATCTGCATGCCTCAATCAGCTCAAGATACTTCGCCCTCTTCCTTTCATGAGCCTCCTCCATCCTGTCTTCCCAGGGGACTGTAAGCTCCAGCAACACAACTTGCTTCGTTGAGTCAGATGTTAAGACCAGATCTGGTCTCAGTAACGTCCTTACAATGTGCTCTGGGAACTTTAGCTGCCTTCCAATGTCCACATGCAACTGCCAATCCCGAGCCACGGCTAGCAGTCCAGATGTGCCCCTACCTGCTCTCTCAGGTTTCTCCCCTGCCCTGACAAAGAAGGTATTGTGCCTCAAAGGGGACTGGTGCTTTGACTCCAGGATTCCAGTGCAGATGGTGTCTGCTACTGCCTTCAACACCTGGTTATGGCGCCACGTGTACCTTCCCTCTCCCAGTGCTTTAGGGCAGCAGCTCAGGATGTGCTCCAGGGAACCATGAGCCGGGCACAGTGGGCATGTTGGTGCTTCTGCAAGGCCCCAGGTATAAAGGTTAGATGGACTTGGAAGGACATCATACACTGACTGACTTTTAAATCAACGTTTCATCGAATCAGACTTAGCTTGAGCTAATTTACATTAATGGAGACACACTCTAAAAGACTAAATGCAGCAAAAGGGTGTTCCATTGCATTGTGGAGGCAAAGCAAGTTTATTTGTATAGAACAATTAGTACAAAGACAACTTAAAGTGCTTTACCTGAATTTAACAATAAAAGATAAGGAAAATAAAAGCAAATATAAATGCATGATAATAAAAAAAAATGATTAAAGCAGGCAGTAAAAGAAATAAAATCCAATAAATTATACTTCAGCTAACAGTTTGACTTCAACAGTCAAAGGCAGCTCTAAACAAATACCGTAGGTTTTCTGTGTTTTTACAGTCTTCTGGGAGTTTTTTCCAGATAAGTGGAGCTTAGGAACTAAATGCTGCTTCTCCATGTGTGGTTCTAGTTCTGGGTCTAGAGAGTAGACTTAGACTAGAAGATCTGAGTGGTCTGGGAGGTTGATAAAATGACAACATATCTCTTATGTATTTTAGTGGCAGATGAAACTAAAATAATCCAGAGAAACCATATTTTACTGTCCATCGTAATTAAATATGTACTACACTACCATGGTCAACCACACAAATTTATGTTAAGTCACACTGAGGTTTGTAGTTGATTGATGATACAAAGCCAAACGTTCAAGAGGCATTTATCTATGAAAGGGGAAGAATCCTTTATTTTTTATTCAGTTCAGCATACCAGACTTATAATTATGTTGTTGAAAGATTTTCCCACGTACAAGTGTTGCAATGTGAAATATTCTGTGCTGCTTTTAAGAATTTTGATCTTTCTCTCTAACATACAGGCTGAAGCATCCTTTAACTACAGTGGCACAAGGCATGAGAAAAATCTCAAAGCTGTGGACTCCTCAGATTCAAAGATCAAGACCTCTGAACTAGTCGTCAAGGAAACCACATCGCAAATCTTCTCGTCATCCTGCTTGCAGCCCTCTGGCTCTGACACGACATCAGAAGGTCTGTCTCTGAAGGCAGGCATGCTCCTCTGTGCTCATGTGTCTGTGTGTATGGGTATTAGTTATATGACAGCATTAGATATATGAACGTATGACTTGAACCTTCTCTCCTAAGTCACGACTTTAACTCTTTGATGTGAGAATTCTCCTGCTGCTTTGGGTTGCACAGTGAAGAGATTAAAGGTTGAGCATTATCCTCTCCTCTGCTTCATCTCTACATTTTCTAACCTTATTCAGTGGCCTCCTAAGATCAAAAGCGTGTTGAAAAATGCTTTGAATGCAGTCTGTAGGCAGCTGTACAGTGCGCCTGAAGAGTATGTGTATCTGGAGGCATGTCAGCATTACTGTGGAGGTGTGTCGAAGCATTAACTGCGTTCCAGCATATTTGTTCGGGGTTTTTTCTCCATGCTGATGCCTTGTGTGGGTGTTAAGACACAAAAGCAGCAGCTTTTACCAAACTTAAGAGCAAGAAAGGTTGTATTTCCATACCTAACCCTGCAAAAATGGGTAGATCTGAATGTCTGAGGATGATTTAAAGAGCATCTTCAGGATGGAGTTTCAGGTTGAGCACTTGATGAACATAGACCAAGAGGGATCAGTGAAAATAACCAGACGCCCACACAGCTAATCATTCTTAATAGCAAAGAGTGAATGCGTTCAATCAGTCTTTGCTCCTCCAGGACCAGCTGGTTCTCACTAAAGATAACAATGCCAACTAATCTTTATGTAGGACTGTCAATTAAGTAGCTTGCAGACAAATCCAAGGGGAAATAATGTGTGTTGTTCGATTAGACAAGTTGGTAACACTCATAATTACCTGTTGCCTGGTCAGGTTTGAGCTTTAGCAGTGTATTGGTGTATGTACAGCGAGTCATTAAATGTGGGCTAAAAGGACTTCTTTGTTTATTTTAAAGATTTGGCAGATATTCAATTATACTACTACACACCTAATCATCCAATTAGTCTCTATTTACCAATAAGTAACCTTAAAACTGACTACAAGATAACCACAAACGGCTAATAACTGAAATAAGTTTTAAAATCACTATTAATCAAATCAAACGATGTGCTATTCAAAGATATCTATGAGAAAAAAATTGAAAAATAAATAAAACTGACAAACATAGAGATGAATATGACAAACAAATAATAAACCTCTAAAAAAGAATAAAAGGGACTGAACTAAAGAATAAATTAACGTATCACAATATCTGGTCATAAAAACCTTTGTGAAAACTTTTTTAGATTTTTTAATTTTTTTAAGGCTCTAGTGGCCTTTATTTTGTTTTTGTTTTTGAAGAATGTAGACAAGAAAATGGGTTACAAGAGAGCGGGGAGACATTCAGCAAAGGTCAGGATGGCTGGACCTCAAAGCTGTGACAGCTAGTATACCTTTGTGAAAACTTGTAAAGATTTCTGAGTCATTGTGATTTGTACTTCATGTGATATAAAAGGGTAAGGAAAAGGATTTTAGGGTCCCTATTCCACAGCTGTTCTTATCCAGTGTCTCCAGAAATGAACCCGGCTTTCTTAGGTCCAGTCCTCAGTAAGGTTTGATTGTATTTGGCAAACTTCTTGGTCAGACAGAGGGACTGGTCGAAATGACTCAGAGGCCAAACCGAAAATATTTAAACTAACAGGTTGCATGTGAGCCAAAAGAGGACGGACCTCTTCTCTAAACTGTATGCACCAGTAGAAACTACAAAAAAGCAAACTATAATGTGGATTTTACCCCTAACACATGCTCCTCCATGGCATTTAATTGTTCCACACAGACAGAGCTTTTCTCTCCTCTGGGTTCCCTGTTTTCTCTTTGGTCTCATTCCTTCCTCAGTAGTGGAACTCTCAGTGTGGTGTCATCAGTGTTATGGTTTATACATTTTTAAATGGCTTAAAAATGTGTAAGTAATGCAAATAAATTTACCCTCCCTGAAACCTACTCCTCTAAGGAATGACAGGAAGCAGCAGGTGCGTTGGATATTTGATGGAATGACTTTCAATTCCCAGCTGAGACAATGTTCCAATGACTACAGATAAATAATGTCCTGCCGGTTGTAATGACAGGAGGTTCCCCAGTGAATGGAAAGGAACAAGGCAGCTTAGGCGTTCCACTGAAAAAATTTCCTCTTTAGGGATGTTTGCAAAGATAAAGTCTTAGGAATGTTGAAGAAAAAAAAAAAAAAGGTTGAGAAGTGTTATTACAAGGAGACAAAAATTCCAACAGAGCAAAACATACTTTAACAATCAGGCAAAGAACAGATAATTTGTTTAAAGAGTCAAATTCCATTTTTTTTTCATTGTTTGGTTCTCATTTTTATTCTTTGTGACCAAATGAGTACTTTTAACAAATCGTATAACTCTCCAGATCTATTCAAGATTTAATTCCCTTAAGAACTAAATAAAAGTTCAAGGAAGATGCCAGAGTGATTCTGGTAAAGTAGGATTACAGTATCAGTCTATGGAAGAACCTCAACTCAACATTCCTAAGCATAGACATATTTTTCTACTTATCAGTGTCAAAAACCAATTATTAATTATAATCTATGAGTCACACAGAACAATAAACAGTGTCTTCACCCAAATAATCACTTATGCTGTTCAGTGTGCTCTTTTAACAACATACTTGCCATAAACATAATTACTTTGCTCATGTTTTGGAAGGCTGAATGAGGGCCTGCAGGAGACAGCTGTCTCCAATGAAAAAATATTTAGAGACGAGTCTATCAAAATCCTTTTGATCATAAAATTAAATATAGCCATTCAGAATGAAAAAAGTCACATTAACCGCTGAATTTGTGCAACTGATTCAGTTTGTCAGGCACCTCAGCATCAGTTCCCCCCAAAAGCACAATCAACTATGGGCTGCATTTCAAATTTTACCTTTTTAAAATCTCCCACAAAACAATCATGACTTTGAAAGCAAATTGTCGCCTTCTTAAACTTAGTTCTAGGTTTTGACAACGTTCCATGAGCTGCCTTCAAGGACAACTTAATCAACTTAAGAAAAATTTATGATATTAATTACACATGAGATTCAAGCTATTGAAGTGACACAACTTTGCCCAACTTAAAATCTTAATCTTGATTTTTATACCAGAAATAACCAATACTTCTCTGAGGCACAGCTTGATTTTTCAGTTTTGCTGTGAGTACACACTCATCTACACTAGTATAGATCCTGGCGAGTCCTTTTACTGAAGTCCAAAGTAATGAATAGTGCCAAACGTGTCAAATTGACCCATTATTCTTCTGTAAACATCTTTTAATACTTCAAGCTGCCTCATCTGTTTCTTTTTAAGCCATCTCTTTGAGTAGCGACATCTGTTCACTTAATTTTATTTCTGATTTTAGAGCCCTCAGCCCCAAACTCCTCTTCAGACACATCGTTGAGTACTGGTCTCCCTGAGACATCGAAAGAGCCCACCAACCACTCCCTGCCAGCCAGTCCGAGGACAGCTGAGAAAGATGGAGAAGCAGAGACTCCAGATAGAGAGACAGAGGAGGAGAAAGCAAAACGCCTTCTCTACTGCTCCCTCTGCAAGGTGGCTGTGAATTCTGCCTCTCAGCTACAGGCTCACAATAGCGGTAGGAAATAGTGAGTGTGTCGTCTAACATTACATACGAGTGTTATGTTTGGGTCTTCACCAATGTCACTATGTGTGCTCAGGTACCAAGCACAAAACCATGCTGGAGGCTAGAAGCGGTGATGGAGCCATTAAGTCATTTCCCAGGATAGGGGTCAAAGCTAAGATGGTTGCTCCATCTGAGCCACCAACTGGACTGCAGAACAAAACATTTCATTGTGAGATATGCGATGTGCATGTGAACTCTGAGACTCAGCTCAAACAGGTGAGCTGTACTGCATGCTCTTTAAAGACTTTTAAGATTAAATTGTGAATTATTTCAGAATGAATGAATGATGAAGAAATTAAAAAAATTATTTCAAACAATCCAGTAAAATTATAAAGAACCACATACAGACATTATGTAAATATTTACATACTGCTTATATCAGAAAAAGGGTATACAAAATTGAAGCTTATTTAATCTTTATTGGATTTAACTGCCTTCTTTAAAGGGTAAAAGAGGCAAATGGATTGATGAAGCTGCTAGCCACTGGCTTTCAAAGTTTTTTCCTAAACCTTGATTGAATAACAGCAGACATGTACCCACTAATGAGCAGTTTGCTTACATATTTTGTTTTAAACAGCTTCTTGTATCTCTCCTTATTTCAATTGTACGTTAACTGATGGTGAAAGTAGTAACATTTGAGCCTTCATATAAACTTGTTCACAGAATTTTGTCTTTTGAGCTGCAACAGTTAAAATTACACAATATTATTTCATATATAAAATGTATCTCTCTGCTCAATAAGCCTTTATCATTGGGGTTTCAATCAAAATAATCAATTTTGACTGTTTAAGGAAACCTGAAAAAAGGTTTGACTTGTTGTGCTGTTGATGACGTAGGTTTATGCTCTGTTTTTCTTCGACTCTTGCTGGAAATTTGGCATAATCTTACCATTTTCTTGCCCATACCTGCAACTACTTATAAGCATGAGTAATTTGATAACAGTGATTAAAATGGAAATATATTTCTGAAGGAATAATGATTAAGAATTTTAATTCATGCCAAATAACTCTGAGAAAAAACACTGTTTAACAAAAAGGAATATTACCACTAGATCCTGCTATCAAGAAGCTGTTATTTTTTTCCTTTCTGAACATACTACACCGTTTAATAAACAGTAATTATTATAGAAGTTTCATATGGTACACTTGAACACAGAGCAAAATAAAGCAACATGCTCTATGTTAACAAATTGAAGAATGCTGCTATTTAATTGACCATAGCTGGTGGATTTAAGCAGCGCTTTAAGAGGTTGGCACCAAGTGGCATGATGCAGGACAGAAGGACACAGTATATAAGGCGAGACAGACAGTGGAATAACTCAAAGCGTTTATTAAAATCAAGATTGGGCTGTGGATCTGCAGTATCAGCAGCTAGGATGGGGCACCACCCATCACAGGAAACTCTGGTTTAAGAGATAAACACAGATTAGGGACCATGATAATCTGATGGAGGATGTTTATCCATTCAAGTCACTAAATAGGTTTAACAATTCAGTGCATCTCCAGAAAATTAGGTAGGATCCAGCCAACAAGATGTGGTAGGCACCGCCCACAGTGTCCCAGATGCTGCAGCCCCAGAGAATATGCAGGAGTCCGAGCCCGGTCAGCGAAATGGATCAGAACCAGAACAGGCTGGTTCAGGGTTCCAAGAGTCCACAGGCGGTTCAGGCAGAATGTTCAGATGGGAACAGGCAGGGTCAGTGGTTGAGAGGCTGAACAGGTCAGGATATCAGGAACACTACGTGACGCTAAAAACTGCTCTCTCCACTGAGACCGGACAGCAACAGAGATGCTCAATGGATGAGACACAGATCATGATCAGGAAATCAGAAACACTACAGAGGGCTAAAAAACCTTCTCTCCACTGGCCACCTCCCCCGGAACAAGAACATGAACAAGAGCAATAATCTGGCCACAATGGCTGGACTGAGCTGAATAAATAGAGGCAGCAGCAGGTGGATTAGATGAGCAATAATGAACAACCCGTCAGACTTAGACAGGTGAGTGGAGGGAGCAATTAGGACAGCCATCAGTGCTATAGTGTTGCACTACATCTATTCAAATTCCAATTAGTTGTTCATGATTGTATGTATAACATCTGGATAGAAAATAGCCTTTTGAAAACATGTTTTTAGGGAAAGAGTTATTGCTTTTTAATACCACTGATGTTTTGGAAACACGGTAACTTTGCGAACATCATTTAGTTAAAAAAAATGTTTAATAGACACCAATGGTACTAAATGGTACCACTAAAAGCACTAAATAATTCAGTATTTGTTTTAATAACCATATCTTAATTCACTTAACTCTTTATCATTTGTATATATTTGAGCTATTTAGCATGAAAGTTTGCTGCTCTTTTTGTGAGGTTATGTGCTGTATAGCTGTGAAAGTATCTAAACTATATAACTTATTTAAAATGATTATACTTTGCATTAAATGTACATGGTTTTGATGAATCAGAAATATGTTTTTCATAACCAATTTTAAAGCTTTTCAGTATGCATACACTGTTAGTATAGATCCCACACAATCTTTGATAAATTTAAACCCTGTTTTTTCTTTCTTTCTAGTAACTATACTTTAGGCAATAACATTCAAATAAAGCACAAGCAGACATCAGAGATCCTGGCTTATCAGACATCTTTTTCATGTACTCTAATCTCTATAAAAAGGTCAGCTGTCTCCCACATTTGCTTTCCACACAGTTCAACAGCTCCATCCCTTTATCCGTCATGAATTACACTCATGTAGGAGGATATGTCGGACTCTGCATATTTAATTCCAAATCTCAGTGGGAACATCTCACACCTGTCGATGCAGGTGAGATAAAATCACCGATCTCCCAAGATAATGAGTACAAAGCTACTGAGCTTTTTCTATTTCAGAGAGCATTTGACTCTGACGCTGCCCTCTCTGTTCGTGATATGACTGCATAGAGTTGGTCTCCATACCTAACTGTTTCAAAGTTAACTTTGGCCAGGTGCTCATGAATATTTAGCAGCTTAGTGCTGATTGTCAGCCATGCAAGCTTCAGCCATCTGTTAGTGTTGGTCAATCAAATCAAAAGGTCCTTCATATCAGCCCGTTTTGTTTACTGTGAATCAAAAAGAACCAACAGATGAAAAAAAAAAGTCTCTCTGAATACTAAAAATGAGCATTTTTAGAAAAATGGTTGTTTTTAAAACTAAGGGAGACGTTCCTATTTTTCTTTTCAATCTTTAACACTTTTCCTGTGTCTGGATGTAATTTCCTGTATGTTTATCTTTCCACTTTGTACTCCAGCATATCAGCAGCAGAAGACACAAGGATAGAGCAGCAGGTAAACCAGCCAAGCCGAAGTTCAGCCCCTACACTCCCACCCAGAGGCTTCAAAGTCTCCAGGCTGTGAGTACTCTGCTGTTTCACTGTTGTTTCTTCTCTCATCATTGTTTGGTTACAGTTGATTCTCTGAAGTCCCTTCTAGGAAACTCTACTCTCTGCACTCAGTGAACCAAAACATCAGCAATGAGAATGAAGGATAAACTGATTTACTTCTGCTTTGCTTTGATGTTTAAAATAAGACACTGTGACTAAATGCAGCAGATTACTCAATTATAGGAACCTCTGATTAAAAAAAAATATATATATATATATTAACAAAGACGTTAAAATAAATTAATCCTTTGCTGCAGAGGCATAGTTTTTGATTACAGACGAACAGCTTTGATGGATGTGCAGCATCAGAAGCATTTTTTCAGTTAGGGACTATGAAAGATGGAAAAAATTATGTTGACATTGGATTAAGTAAGGAATGCTCTTAAGATGTTTGTAGGTGGCTTTTAAAAAAAGCAATTTTACATTAGCCCTAGAAGGACCGCTAAGTCATTAAAGTAATAGTGGAGGATGTTCTTTTTCTGGGTGGATCTTCAAAAGAAGTGGTCCTCCTAATTGTCTATCATTGTGGTGATATGTTTACATAAGGCCATCCTACGTGCTCGTCTCCATTTTCACTTACCGGTGGTGAGTCTGTAATAGAGGAAAAATTTAAAATCTTCTTGTGGAAAGAAAGCTTGTATGAGCGATGCAAACGGCAACTTTTAAACAGAGCACGCTTGAGAAACGAAGAAATTGGCTCTTGCACGCTTTCAATAAGCATTCCCTGTCTGGAGTGGGTACATGGTGTCAAGGTTTGGTGTTGGATTGAGGACCCAAAAGCAGAGGCAAGTTGGCAGAGGTGAATTTAGGTGGGTTTAATGAGGTTTACAGGTACGGAGGCAGGAATCAAAGATCCAACAAAAATAACAAACGAACCAGGACCAAGGAGTCATCAGGGGAAACCAAACTCTAGGAGCCAGGGAGAGACGAGGTAAGCAGACAGACGTTAGACGAGGATCCAGCAAACAGGAACTGAAGAGGGAGGCTTTTAAAGGGGACAGAGACAAAGAGAGGGCTAACGAGAGGATTGAAAACAGGTGAGGAAAGAGCAGAAAACAGAGCTAGGGAAAGAGGACACAAGAGGGCAGCAGAGGACAACAAATGGAAAACCAAGACTGTGACACATGGTTGTCCATGTGCATTTTTGTAGAGAGCAGGTCTTTTAAAAAAAAATGCACGAAAATCCTCCACTACACCTTTAACTCGTCCACATCTTGTAACTCTAGTGATGGCCTCGGCTGCCTGCTGCCTTTGCAGTGCACTAGTGCACACTGTCCGATGTCATCCCTTACTTCCCGGTGGGGCAAGGCCAGCTGCCCCTACTCAGCTCTAGGACACTCTCTGCCTGTGTTCTCGCTCTGATCTCCTGTCTCCTGTCGAAGCTCCCCAGGAGCTGTCGAAGTAGAAAGTTTACGGTTCTGGTCAGACTGAAGCACTGCTGAAAGCGAGAACAAGCTAGCCACAGTCCCCAAAACTGGGAGCATCTCTGGAGAATCTGATGGACCAAGGGAAGCCTGACCTTGTTTGGCTTTTTAATGATAAAGCACTGTGACTCACTGTGTAAAATCAGGGTCTGCGTTGCTGACTTGAAACCAGCATAAAATAAAAACTCTGATGTGGGTTTCTATTCCCCCTTTGGTGTTCAAATAGTTCCTCTTAAATGATCCATAAAGCCAATAGACATTTTCAAACTTTTTTTTTTATTCAGTCTTTAGCTTCTTTTTTCTCTTATCTTCGAATAAAATGTACTTCCATTCTTCTCCTGCTTTAGTATGATGGGACAGGCATTCACACTGTAAGCAAACAGCCAATGGAACTATTGATACCACTCCCCCATTTTCTTTTCTCTTGTGCCCCTCTACTTTTACATGCCAAAAAATAAGATCTTGATGGTAGTTTTGGTTTATTTTGCTCTTTTTCCGTAGATAAGACTTACTCTGCGAAAGAACCAAGACTTGAGCAAACCTATGGCCTCCTTCCTTCTTCATCGTCAACTGTCCATCGCTGCTGCTTCCATTCCTCCGTTGTCGACCTTCCCTCTCCAGAGTGCCACACACTCAGGCCCCGCCTTGCTTCATGGTCAGCCCCTCCCACAGACTATGTTTCATCCAGCCTCTGGAGCCATCTGTTCTCCACACACATCGATTCTGTTTTCCCCCTTCTGACTCCATCAAGACCCAGATCTGGAAAATGATCTGACCTAAGACATTACTTCCTATTCCCAACAAATCAGCAGACTGTCATGGATCGCAAAGCTGAGTGGTTGAAGGCACTGGGGTCATGAGATATGTTGCACAGTGTTGACATAAAAAAAGAAAAATGGTGAAAAAAAAAAAGGTAAATCTAGAGACTCTAAGTTTGTTCAGGTGCTATGTAGCTGTCATAAGTCTGCAGCTGGTGGAACAAAACACATCAAGGCTATTATGGGATATAAAATCCCTTACAGGTATGTACAAATGCTGAGCATTTTAGTTTAATTCATGTCATTATTCCATTCAAATTCTTTTTTTTTTATCATATACATTTAAGCTTAAAAAGAGGAAATATTTCTGCATGGTTACAGGTTACTCTTTGGTAAGCATATCAGCTATTTAAAAACTAGCAGTTTTTGTATGATCTGAAAAAAAAAATTCTGAAATGACTCGCTCAGTCTAACCTTCAAATGTTGTTGTTCAGTTAAAGATGTTTTTTGAAAAAAACAAAACAAAAAAAAAAACTTCAAGTTTGTTTAAATTTTCTGCTTTTAATCCAAGCAAGTCAAGACACTAAAACGCTAATTAAAGCCTGTTTTCCACTATTACCTACTTGGCTCCATTCAATTGCATTCAGTCTTTTTGGAATTTCCATTATGTACTTATTAGTTACCAGCTCCTTTAAAGTATCAGAAATGTGAAGTCAGATGACTTCTGGTCATTGATGGTTAAGGAGTATGAATCATTGGCTGAGTCATGAGTGCGATCCCATTACAAACATAAATTCCTCTATTTCAAAATCACAACAGTGGCAAAGCATTTTCTCAGCCTGAAGAAAAATTTTAAAGAGAAATATTGTTGTCCAATGACAAGGTGCAGCAGTTTGTTTCTCTTAGCCAAAGAGAATATTAATAATGTAAATGATATTTTAAGTCCCGTCACTTTTTATAAGAGATGTCAAGAATACTCACATTCTTTACGTAGATGAAATAACAGATATTTGTGTAAAAAAAAAAAAAAAATTAAACAAAAGGATACAAAATAAGCCTTTAAAATGTCAAGGCTCAGAACAAAGGGCTCAGAACTTAAGGCAAACAAACTGGTGGACTTCTCAAAGCGTTTATTAAAAAATAGCGAATCTGCAGTTCAGCAGCTGGGGCATCTAAGGCAAAAACGTCTGCAGAGGGAAATCTCAGGTTAGTGAACATGTTAATATCAGGGAGGATGATGACGAACTCATGACTCACTAAGCTGGTCCTAGAATTCAGTCCGTGCCCAGAGGAAGGAGTGGATTCCAGCCGAATGGCTACAAACAGCATACAGAGAACGCCACCAGCAGTGTTCCAGATGCTGACGCCTCGAAGACTGCAGAACTGGATGATGAGCAGATAAGAAAGGCAAGACTTTTCAGCACTTTCAAAGCAAAGCCAAAGCCTGTGCCGAAGAGGTTCACAGGAGTCCAGGCAAGGAGATCAGAGATCTGAAGAGGAACCAAAGGGAAATTCAGGTGGAAGTCAGGAGGCAGATCCAGGTTTAGTCCACAAGTAGAATCCAGCAGGAGTCTGAAGACGTGTAAGGCAAACACATCAGAACAGTAACAGGCAAGCTAAGAGGTCCAAATTCAGAACAGGTCAGGATAAGACAATCACAACACAAACAGGTATATGAGAGAACTCTCACCAAAGGCTTGAATAATCTGGCACAGATGACTGGGAGCAAGCAGGTTAAATAGACTGGAGCAGGTGGATCAGATGAACGGTAATTAAACTGGGCGGAGCTAGACAGGTGAATTAAATGAACCATTAAGCTAGTCATCAGCGCCAAGATCATGAAATAAAACTGTTCTTTAAAGTTGCTTTATCTACAAAAAATTTGTTATTTTTCTTTTGCAAACTGTGTTGGTAAAGAGAATACTAACAAAAAAACTGACTTAGTCTGACTTCATTCTTAATCAAATCATAAGTCCTGCATGAGCCGCTGCATACTTTTAGAGCTTTGCTATTTACAACAATAAAGTTGCAAATGGCATCAAAATTGAAAAAGTACTTGAAACATAATTATCATGTAAATGTAAAATCTAATAAAAAGGGAATGGATGGGGAATGGTTTGCATCTCTGAATGTCATCCATCATCTGCAATGTTTCCCTTCTGTTTGTCTTCATCCATGTCGTTATCAATGTTTTTCTACAAACAAACTGGGCTCTAACGGGACAGATTATCTCAGTGCTCTTGATTTTCCATCTGTTTTGTTGCAGCTATGATGTCACAATGATATCGATATGTATAGTGGTAATTAGATGCTTTTAAGAAAGTAAGTGGTACAAAGTGCAGATTATTGTGTTCAAATGTATTGAGTACAAGTTAAAACTTTTTAGAAAAATAAAAACTCAAAGTACAAAAGCTACTTAAATACAGCATTTAGTTAATTGACACCTGTGCTTTTCATGCTGTATTGCTATGAAGACCCCATCAACACAGAGGTGGTACTTCGTTAGGATGGAAAAAGACCGTAACCAAAAATAATCGATTAGAGCCAAGTCTAATTGTGCCAAACAGGAACTAATGGAAAGAGCCATGCTTTAAGCTAATCAAAGTCAAAGCTAAGGTGATCAGTATTTCCTAAAATGAATATATTTGTTTGCTCTTTCTTTAATGTGTGTTCTCTTATCATCAGAAAATAGCACTTAAGATTTGTCCAGTATTTGTCCATTTTTTTTTCACTTCAAGTTTAAATTTACATTTTTTTTTTTGTTTGTTTGTTTGTTAACCTGTGAAATGAGGCACTTAACAAGTTTTTTTTTTATATGGGACTGTTCATAAAGGAGCCTATTAATTATGACTCAAAAAATTGCATTTATTGGCTTTTCTTTCACATTAAATGTAAAGATGACATCAGATGAATATCTGACTACTTAATGTTAAAACCTGAGCTGGTGTTCGGCTTGACCTACCACACAAAGTGTGAAAGTGGCTTTTATCACTCCTCTGAAAGGACACAGGTGTTATTAATAAAGGGCTTAAGTAAAAACAAATTTTAATATGAGATGCTTTTAACTGAATTTAAAAGTAGTGAAGGGAAATTAAAGAGAGAAATTACTTCGACATTCAAGGTACAACAGTCAGGAGAGAATTAAATTGATTTTTAGATGTGATCCCACTAGGCGCTAGAATTATCTTTTTAGTTAGGTGGGTTTCCAACTTTATCAGCTTAGTCATCTATAAAGGAGTTTGATTCAAGCTGAGCCCCAAAACTTTGGGATAGGCTTTTAGAATGAATTCTAAAATGAGCAAATAGCCCGTGCACAGATACAAGAGTTATAAACTCTTCTCTGGTTTCTAAGAGTCTTAGACCAACTTGGACTTTTGCTGATGAATGTGCAGATGGCATTACAATAGTCTAAAAAGGATGAAACAAACACATTATTAAACTGGTATTTAAGAAATATTTTAGACAAGGTGTTGAATGTTAAATCTAGAAGATGTTAACTGATGAAAACAACACATTTTTAAAGACTGGCTCCAATCGGTTGTTTGATTGGAGGGAAGGCTTTCTCTCTGGACTAATTATCAGTTAATCCTCAGAATCAAGGAATCAGATCTGTTTTCGTTTTATAAACTGAAGTATTTCAGACATTTTAAATAATTGAGCATTTTAGTCGATGCAGAAAAGCTGAATTTAATATGCGTCAAAGTAATTGGAGAGTTTATGTAATGTATCATGATCTGACCAATGGAGTGTTTGTACAGTAAAAAAAGAAATGGGCCCCAGAATAGTGCCTCAGGGTGCCCCTGATGTTAGATCATTAGTATCTGACATGACATGTGACATAGAAGATCCATTCATTTTCTTACATGCTTAATCCCAAGTGGGTTTGCGAGGGGTGCTGGTGCCTATCTCCAGCTGTCTACGGGCAAAAGGCATTGGTAATGCTTGAATAGTATCTAATGTAGGTAAATTATTTGTGATATATCCAACTATATTTTAACAAGAAACACATTTTTTTCAATAGGCTGCATTAATGTAAACCTGTTTAAAGTTGATCAAGTCAAAGGTAGGATTTTTTTGCAACACAAAAAAACTCAATAAAGATTTTAAAAAGTTCATGTCACATTTAAGTCTGAGGGCTCGGTCTTTTGCTGTACAATGAAGTGAACCATGGTATAAAATGTTAATAGATAATTAATGCTAAGTAATTTTTCTAATGTTGATAAATATGGTTTTGATATTTGGAATAGTATTAGAAGGGGTTTCTCAAAATCATCTCATTATCTGTGGTCTTCTTTTCAGCGTCCGGAAGTTGGCAACCATAGTAAAGAGCTTTATGGCATTAGGGTGTCAAAACGTTTCCATGGCTCCCATCTGTTCTTCCCAAATATGACTCATTAACTTCACTGAAAAAGTATTTAAGGCTGCCTTTGCAGGCTAATTCTTGTTCCACTTCCATGCGAACAAATCTTACCAGTGTTAAAACCTTTGCATATCACTGTTAGTATAATGTCACTTAGAGCTTAAGAAAGAAAAAAGAAGGTGCTGTGAATTTAATGCTGGATTGCATTTGGTTTCTGTTTTGCCTCAATTCAGGCTTAAAAGCAAAATCATTGATCGAAGAGACTTTAGAAAAAAAAAATGCTCCGAAATTGTCTCAGCATAAACAGCTTCACATCTGCTTGTCAGGAAGAACATGTCCTCATAAAAAATACATACCGTAGCATCTTTTTTTTAAGGTGGCTACAAGTTCACCTTAAACATTGCCAGGAAGGTTGACAGGCTAAGACCCTGCTATACAACACCTCCTTCAAAACACATAAATTGTTGCTTTCTGACTCACACTTAAATACAGTTTGTTCTCCCTTGTTTCTCATCAGCATACAAGAAATCTCCTGTTGTTGGCCTTTGTTCAAGTATCTCCCCTTAAAAAAAAACTAAGCAAATAAAAGACCTATTCAAGTAAGAGAGACTGAAAGCTCCCTCGAATGAACTTCCCTTAGGCTACAATCTCTGCAACAGATCACTGCTGGAATGTTTTTTTAGATGCTACAAGTTGTCTCTCCGATGAAGCTTGCATCACTCTGAGCAATGTTTTGTGTGCTAAGTAAAAGTCCCATTAACAGCAGTTGGAGGAGATGGATGACTGTTCAAGATCCACGGCTGCACAGGGAGGATTAAGGCACCTGGGCTTGAAGCAATTTTGGTGCCACATCCCAAATAAGTTCGTCCACTTGTGCAAATTCATGTAAATCAGTAGTTTCACTCTAGAACATAGAAATTATTTTGAATAGGATCAGTTCAGCCTGTCTGACAACATGGAAAAGGCTGTAACATCTAAAGACCCAACTCATCATGCTCTGACTCAAGAAAATCTAAGGAGTGATAACAAAGAAAGCCATTCAAATCCAAATTTTGGGGATCTATGCAGACCGCATTTATCAAATTTACCCCAAAACCTTTTTAATATTCAATAAAAACAATTCTGTAG